TCATGAAACATCCCAAAAATACGGTCCAAAAATTTCGTTTTAAATCATTAATAAAACCATAGTTATCAAACCATTTCATCAAAACATAATTTATAATATCTCAAACATTGTTATCAGAGTTTCAAAACATCAGAGTAAACATCCCGGGCTAAAACATCTTGGTGTGTGCAATGCAGTCATCCTGAGCTCTTCTCTTTGCAACTGTAATTATCTGAAACCAAAACTGAAAACCGTAAGCACGAAGCTTAGTGAGTTCCCCAACCTACCACATACCATACACAAAAACATATATATTGGGCCCCCGCCCGGCATCGTACGAATCCGACATCGGGCCCCGCCTGGCATCGAGCCCCGCTCGGTATACATATCTGTTTCTCTTAGGCCTCGCCTGTCTCTGGGCCCCACCCATTATACACATACAACAATATCATATAATCATACTAGCACATAAAGAAAACATACTCTAAATGTATTTCCTGTCCTAAGGCCTCGCCTAACTTGGGCCCCGCCCCTGTCCTGCTACTGATGAGTCACGGAACCCCGTCCATACTCAACTAGTGATGAGATACGGGACCTCGCCTACACTCACCTCCCTACCAGACACATACAAGTATCACACAGACAACAAGTATAATCTATCATGCAAACATTCCTCGGGATTGCCCCATCATCAGACCTTAATCCGGAATAACATACAGATAAACCTTCCTCGGGCCCCGCCCGACATCGAACCGAAGTCCGGAAGCATATAAACATTCCTCGAGCTTACCCCAACATTGAATCGTAATCCGGAACATATAACATAGCTGAGACCAAGGGCTAACCCCCGGGTAGGGCTGTAAAAGAACTGAACGTTCAACGAACTATTCGTGAACCATTCGGCAGGAAGTTCGTTTTTGTTCGTTTATTTAATAAACGAACGGACATGAACACAAATTATCATTCGTTTAGTTAAAGGAACGAACATGAACAATGGTCTTGTTCGTGAACGTTCGTTTATGTTGTTCGTTTACGTTCGTTTATGTTCGTTCATATAAGTTCATTTTATGTTCACATATGCTTAATTGTGATTGATTACATTAGTGTATTATATATTCATTTATGTTCATATATCTACAATTATGTTTTTATTTTATTTTTATTTTTATTTTTATTTTTTATTTTTTTTAATCTTTGTTCATTTATGTTCGTTTGTTTATGTTCATTTAGCATGTTCACGAACATAAACGAATGAACATGAACAATGTAATTTGTTAAACGAACAAATATGAACAATTTATCCGTTCGTGTTCGTTTATTTGTTCTGCTAACTTAAATGAACAAACATGAACAAGCCCCGTTCGTGTTCGTTCGGTTCGTTTACAGCCCTACCCCCGGGTCTTCCTATCATGCATAAACTAAATGGACTGGCATTATGGTCGTAGACCCATACAAACAAGAGGAAACTCACCTCGCACTGCTGAAGTCCCGCGGATAACCCTCTGACTGCTAACTGGCAATTCCCCGAACTATTGATCCTGCGGCTCCCCGAGCTATCAGTACCAAAATAACACTTAGTCAAAACCCAATAATCCTTACTTGGGGTGAAATGACCATTTAACCCCTGGCCCAACAAGATTCACAACCAAGGCCCAAAACTATCAAATCCATAAAAATCCATCAATGGCCCAATTTTCCAAATTGGGCCCAAACCCTTACATGGGCCTTTCCCCAAAGGCCAATTACTTTTCTGAACCAATGATTTTCCGATGGCCCAACAGTCCAAGCCCATTGGGCCCAATCAAGGCCTAACTACATTGGGCCCACTAAGTCCCAATTCATCATCCAATGCCCATTAGGGCAAGCCCAACCAGAAGTCCATTACTCTAAAATCATTAGTCCATTATGAGCCCAAACCAAAAGACAAGTCCACTACCAAGCTAGCCCACAATCAAAGAGTCCAAAACTTGCACAGGGGTTGCTCACGTCGTGAGCTCTTCATGCTCACGTCGTGAGGTCGTGGTTTCAATCCAGGAACTTCCTTGAATATGTATTCACGTCGTGAGGCTTCATTCCTCACGCCGTGAGTCCAGATCTGACCAAAAATGAGCATTAAGTTCTTAATCCATTAAGCTTAACATGGGACAGTTTATAGGGTCTTCCTTGACCCCAAGGACCATAAAAATCGAAGCTTTTTAGTCACATATGTCCAATACATGACTTAAACACCAACTTGGGTCAAAATGGAGTAAAAAGGTCCAAGACTCAAACTTGGAGTCCAAAACCATGACCAAAATCCAGATCTGATACTTCTAAGGCTTAAGATACTACCATGATCCATAAAGTTGCCAACTTTATGGACTCCATCATGCTAACCAACATTACAAGCCATAAAATGCATCGAAACGTAGATCTAGCAAGCAAGGAAAGGAAAGGCATGAACTTGAAGACTTACAAAGGTCCAAAAGCTCCATAACTAGTTGATGATGAACCCAAGAAGCTAACTAATGCACCACCAATGATCTTATTCTCCTTAATAAGCTTCAAAGCCTCTAAAATCTCTTGAATAACACCAAAATGACCAAGAACTTCAATGGGGGCTGAGATTAGGGTTTCCAGAGGTCTTGGGAGTGAAAGAGGCTGAGGAGAAGCAACCCTAATCATCTTATACCTTTAAATACCCGAAAACTAGGGTTTTGGAGCATCAAGCACTCCTCACGCCGTGAGCCCTTAATGCTCACGTCGTGAGCCTTAAATGAACTTGGTCAACAAGTCAACGATCACTCACCCGAACTACTCCAACTTCAAACGACCATAACTTCTTCGTTTTAACTCCGTTTTTGACGTTCTTTATATCCACAAAAAGGTGGTGAGAAGCTCTACACATCTATTGACTTATCCTCACCTCAAAACCTTCCGAACAAAAATCCAAAATTCATAAAGAGCTCGAACTGCCACTTGACCGATATACCCCATTGGCTCCACGACACAACCCAACTCCGGGTCACCTCAATTACATTATCCGTACCTAAATGGGTCTAGATCTCTTTCCAAAGGCCCTAAGCCTTATGATAACCCATCTTCAGGCCACAATCCCGAATTAGGAAAGCGATTCGGAACAGGGCGTTACATTTCAACCTCAAAATGAAATCTATTGGTCTTTGTGGTCGTATAGTTTCTTGCACCAACATAAAAATCTCCATTTCCAAAGTAGCAATATTGTCCCATGAGGTCTCCACACACATAACAATATAAACAATATGCTTTTTTTCTTTTTCACACTATATTCCAACCAATCAAAATCGTTAAACCATGAAGGAACGAAGCTTCTTAATCTATCACCTATATTCTTTTTTGGAAAGTTATGTAGCCTTATTTGACAAGGTCTTTGAAGCAAATATGCTCTTCTTACATCCTCTCTTATATTTGAGGCATAACTTGTAATCTTTGGCCTATTCGCCGAGTCCTTTGGAAGATCTTTCAAAGCAACACTATCATTAGTTTCATTAGAGCATGGTGTTTGTGGAATTGCATTAGAAACTGAAGGGGTTGATTGATTGGTGATTGGTGTTTGAGAAGATCCTTCACCATTTTCATTAGGATTAGGTCTTGGTCTTTTGGTAAGAAAACCACCAAGGGTAACCTACAATTCAACATTAAGCTAAATAACTAATAATTTCACCGAATCATCTAATAGCTTCAACAAAAACATACAAATTACACCGAATCAAAATTGAACTTCAATAAAGATAAGAAGACATAACAATTTTATTTCACCATATCAATCAATAAGTCAATAACATCAATAAAAAATAGCAATTTCACCACTTCAAGAAAAAAACATAGCAATTTCGATTTCAACCTAAACAAACAGGTAAAATTTCAATTTTCAAACACTTACTTGCTTCATTCTTAGCTAGGGCTTGGAGATTACTTGGAGTCGAATTGAATAAATGGGAATCGATTTTTGGTACTCAAGCAACAAGACACTCAATAAATTAGAAGGAATTAGCAATGGAACTCATGGAAGCATCAAGCAACGAAGTCGTAGATTGCCGAACACATGCTTAGTCTCGATGTTTTTTTTTTGTCGATCCAAACTCCCATTCTCCCAATTGGATCAAAAGATCCAATTATCCAAATGTCATTGGGCTATTTTAGTTATTTTTTTGGGCTAAAATTAAAAGGATTTTTGGACTATTAATTAATAAGTTTAAGTTGTAAATATATTTTTGGGTTTGGTTGATCCAATAGAGTGACAATTTTTTTTTACATAGTTGTCCGTTTTTTTACGTAGTTGCCGATTTTTTTTACATAGTGGCACAATAGGTAAAAAAAATCGAAAAAAATTCCATTACATAAACGGGAACTAGGTGTTGCCGGTGCCACATCGGGCACCTAGGCAAAACCATCCCTGAACAAGACTATGATTAAAACATATATTTTCTAGCTACTTTTAGAAAATAATATTATAATTTAATTAAAATTGTGACTTTTGTAAAATATTCGTATCATTAAAAAGTTACATAAATGAAAATGCTTATGTTGTAACTTTTCATACCATTCCTTGATGTTATAAAACCAAAAAATATCGATCGTCTTAAGAAATAAAAAATAATTAATAAATCAGAAGGAATCACATTCCTTAAAAAATAGTCCATTCCACTCCATCAAACAAAACATACACCATATATAATTATATCCTCCACATAGAGCAATAATAGATTTTACATAATTCTGAAATTTAATCTCAAGCTTTTTCATAAAAGACCAAACCCATGGATACATCATTTTTTATAAGTAGAAATCCTTAGATGATAAGCATATTTGGTAATAATCTGAGAACTTTATTGTACATTTGTTTTCCTAGTTCTTTCATGGACTTAACAAAACCACAAATGTGTTACCCAAAATGCATGCAATTCTAATAAAAACACCAGATTGTGATGTGAGTAACCATGAGTATATTTGATGTCAAATAAAACTACTGCAAGTATTTAAAGAACTTGTATATGCTGCTAGTAATGTATGAAGAGTTCTGCTAATGACCTTTATATTGCAAATGTTCATCTTTTTACAGAAAAAAAAAGTCTATCTTACAACAACCAATGGCATATTATCTTATAGCAATATAATCGCTGCTCCATTTGAATCAGTTGACTTATTGAGGCATCTGCAATCAAGAACACAAGAATACAATACAAATTAGCAACAAGACTTCAAGGATCATAATCTGATTGCATACAAACTTCTTCTTTCTTTTCAAAACAAAATAAAAACTTGAGTATAAGATAAAGAGATTGCATAAAATGTGATGAGTGTGTTACCAAGGATGAGAGAGAATCAGGCTCATGACCATGAACCCTGAAGCGATATATGCAAGTGTGAGTGGAGTCTCCATGGTTTGATGTGAACTCAAATCTCATCATGTTCACAGCATATCCCTTCTCCCAAACATTGAAACTTTGTACATTTCTTTTTTCAAGATCATATGTGAACTCTCTTAGCAAAACCATCTTCTTTGAATCAGGATGCAACCATCCAAACACTCTACAGTTCTTTGGAGCCATAGATCTGTCGTATGCCACACTCTGTTCATATTCATAACACCATAAAATGCACAAATTAAGTGATTAAATCAACAAGAATCTTCAGAGAAAACAAGATAAGAGAACAAACCTTTGCAACATGTTCAAGAGTTATCGCCTCTGGGATAATGGTCTGACTCAACTTGATCTCAACATAACCATTGTTACCTTTTAGAGGAAAACATTGACCAGGTTCACCAAAACTAGGTTGCAGAATCTTCAGAGCAAACAGATGAATCCCATTTTGCAAATTGTAGCGTTCAGAGTGTTTCACCACCATTCCTCCACCAGAAGCAACAGCATAGTCAATAGTACCAAGTCCATCAGCAGCATGCTTGTCGATTGCTTTCTCGATCATCTCCTTCACATAACCCTTCATTTCATCCAGCCTCATATCGCCATCAAACCCTTCATCTTTCCTCTTCTTGAAGTTAAATCCATCTAAAACCTTGTTAGAATTATTATTTCCATATCCACTCCTTACCAATCAATGATCGTATCTTACTTTGAACCACTTCTCCCAAATCACGCAATTTGGTCCTGTATACGAAATCAAAATCATCTACTCTCTCGCTCAATTCGTTTCTTAAATCTTCAATCTCTTTCTCGATTTTTCTGTCTGCAGCTTCAATCTGAACCTGCATCAGCTTGGTAGTCGTCTGGAAGAAGGACTTGGTTTCCTCAGCAGTCCGTCTATCGATCCCTATAGAATAAATGCCTTCGTTCCCAAATAGCAATCGCAGAATCGTCTCAGACAAAAGCAGTAGTAGCAGTAAAAGTACGAAGTTCTTGGTGAAAAAGGTGAGAGCGATCTGCCATGGAGGCTTCTTCAGATGAGCTCTTGGATTAGGCGGTGTTGATTCCTTCTCCATCGCGTGGTCAATGAAACGTTTGTACCCTAACAGAAGAATTTAAGCCGGTGGTTTCTCCGTCGGCGGTCACCGCCGATCTTCGATTGCAGCTGAAAGGGTAGAGATTGACATCGAATTTGTTGGCGGATTGCAACTGAAATGAACTAATTGAAGCATTTTGTGCTTTTATTGGGCGGGAAGGAACTACCTAAGGCAATACAATTTGTAAATAATTAACTTGACATTGAATTTTATTTGGAAAATAATAATAATAATAATAATCAAATTCCAAAAATAATCATTGATTACGGAGATGTCGTCCCGAAGATCATCAAATGGGTTAACAAATGTTAAGAGAAATTTATAGACGATCAATACTTGCATAAAAGCAAAATAAAATAACTAATTTTTTTTTTAAACTTTTATCAGTTTATGTGATAAAATCTTTAAAGATCATTTAAAAAAAAGTAAAAAATAGGGTAATTTACACCAATCGTCCCTCGTGTACATGCCAGAAAGCGTGTTTAGTCCATATTTTTAAAAATTAACTCGGACCGTCCCTCATTTGCATAAAACTTGCACTTTTCGTCCCTGGTATACATTTTTGTTGCGCATCTAGTCCTTGATAGATCTAAAATGACCATAATACCCTTTGTCTATTTCTTTTCCAATTAATTTAATGTGATTATTATTTTTTTTAATTAAAAAAAATATGGCCTCTCCTTTTTAAAACTCTCTCTCTCTCTACATAACATCACCGGAATATTCACCACCACTCCTCCCCCTTCACTTACCCAACCCATCTACCCACTTTAGTGTGTTGCTGGTGCTCATCGTCGGGTGGTTGTCTTCTCCGGCAATAATTTTAGTTTCGCTTTCAAAATCTAAGCTATAACTTAAGCTACACAAAACTGTAAAGATCCCATATGGTTTTCTGGTGCCGAGATTTGGCGGATATCACCGCCGTCGCTGCCTAGGGTTTCACTTCTAATGCTCGATGAACCTTCTTGCTCTGATTCCAGCCTCCATCGCCATCACAGGTAGAGGATCTCGAGGAGAGGAGAAAGAATCTCGCCTCAAATCTTACATACGTCTGCCAAGAGATGAAGAACGAAAAAGTAATTCAAGACGTCGCTATCAATGCGTCGATTTCTTCATCTCCATCACCGGTTTCTTTTGCTTGGATTTTGATATCAAAGAGTTCTTCGGATAATTCTAATAGCTACTTTAAAGAACCGCCATAATTTGTTCTGGTTGCTGCTTCGTCGCCTCAAGTCTTTTGTTCATACCTAAAATCTCCTCTTCTTGTGGTTTCTGCTCCTGTTTTAACCCCTCAAACTCCATTGTCATCTCTGAAAATCAAGCTACAAATATGGTTTAAACAGGTTTCAGAAGGGAAGTTTGTGAAGAAGAGCTATGGTGGTGATGGCATCGACCAGTGGCGGTGTTAGTGTTGACCGGTGGTGATGTTCTTTACCGATGTTAGTGGTAGGATCGATATAGAGGAAGAAGTGGTGAGAAGGAGGGAGACGAGCTGGGGAAGGGAAGGGGAAGGATAGGTTGGGGGTGTAGATATTTATTTTATTTTTCTTTTTTTTTCAATCTAAAAATGATAAATAAACAAAATAAAATTGAAAAAGAAAATTTTAAGGGCAAAATAGTCATTTTATGTCAATAGGGACTTAGCATGCAAGAAAAACCAAAACCAAGGACCATCCGAGTTAATTTTAGAAAATAGGGACTAAACATGCACTTTGGCATATGCACGAGGGACAAAATAACTTTGTATTGTACTTTTGACTTTCAAATATGTAAAAAACATCAAAAAACTTTGTAGATTTGATCCGTAAAAGTTTAATTTCTTAAATATAACCTGTAAAAAAACACGTTCTGATGTTTTTTCGCAGTAAAAGTCTTCAAAAGAACATTTTTATAATAAAAAAAAGTTTTAAACGAAATAAAAAATGATTTTTTTATTTGAAGTTTCTTTGAGAAAGTTCTACAAAAAAAGAATGATGTAAAATGAAAAAAAAAAAACAAAAACAAAAAATTATAAGAGTATTCCCTGCCCATTAAGAGTTTTTTTTGCAGCCCAATACTTTTATCACAACACCGTATGAACACTAAAGTTGTAATCATACTATAAATTAACCATATATCTTAATAATTGAAGTCAAGTCGTCGAATACCTTAAAATACATTACCCAGCAACTTGCAGAGGAGAGTTTTTTTAACAATTTATCGATGACTTGAAATTTCTTTTAAGCAATGGTCAAATGAGGTGGGTAACCTTAGCAAACTTCGTTCTCTGTATTTATTTGAAAGCCAATTTAGTGCTTCTACCTAAAACATACATCATCACCAATATCAAAAGACAATGTCTTCTTCAAAGGTAAACCTTGAAAATTATCTAATACCACTAGAGGAGATCAACCTTGCAACCAAAAACTTCAGCCCGGAAAGATGCATTGGAGGCGGTGGATTTGGCAAGGTCTACGTAGGAGAACTCTCTAAACGTTGGCAAAACCGCACAACTGCTATCAAACGCCGAGCTCCCGATAGTTATCAAGGAGAGGACGAGTTCCGTAATGAGCTTCACATGATTTTAAAATTCAAGCATGAAAACATCATCTCCTTTATTGGCTACTGTGATGAAGCCGATGAGATGATCATAGTTTATGAGTACGCTACCAATGGAAGCCTCGACCATCATCTCCAATATGCAAATAAGATGTGTGACATAACATGGACACAACTCCTCAAGATTTGTTTAGGGGCAGCAAGAGGACTAGATTATCTTCACTCAGGTCTTGGGGAGCACACCAGAGTGATACATAGAGACTTTAAGAGTGCTAACATATTGTTAGATAAAAATTTGGTGGCAAAAATATGTGATTTTGGCCTGTCAAAATGGGGTCCAAAGAATCAGCCAATTACCCATCTCAATACAAAGGTTGCGGGTACCCAATTTTACTTGGATCCCATTTACCATGAAAGCCATATCCTCCGAAAAGAATCAGACGTGTACTCATTTGGTGTGGTACTATTCGAAATGTTGAGTGGGATGCTTGTTTACAGTGAAAGAAGCCTTGGAAATAAGGCAACGTTTCTAATGACTTTGGTTCGACAATCTGATGAAAAGAAAGTACATGAGTTAGTTGATCCCCACATAAGACATCAGATTAGCGGTCCTTCTTTAAGAAGTTGCATATCAGTGCATTAGTTTAAATTTAAAGGAACGCCCTAGTATGGCCACAGTCATTGGGAAGATCGAACATGCGTTGGATATTCAAGTAAGTATTCACATTTACTTATTCTGAAAGAATTATAGTTTAAAATGCAAGCAGAATCATCATGGATGATAAACCACAATGAATTAACCTACGCCACCAGCCACCAACCACCGCCGCTATATTAATATTAGAATAATCACTTGTTCTATACTTATTCGTATATGAATACACTTATTCATATATGAATACAATTATTCATATATATATATATATATATATATAGATATATATATATATATATATATATATATATATATATCATGGTTGCAGAAATCGGGATTAATCGGCGATTAATCGTGGATTAATCGTTTGGCGTTCTCCAACCGTCGAGGATTAGGGCATTAATCGCAAATTTAGGATTAATCGGGTTTGACGGGATTAATCGGCCTTGGCGAGATTAATCGGTCAACAAAAGTCAACAAAAGTCGAAAAAGTCGAAAAAAGTCAAAAAAATGTCAAAAAATGTCAAAAAAAATTCAAAAAACCAACTTTTTTTTTACTCCAAAATTTTCAAATTTTCAAAATTTCGAATATTATACCAAAATGTTCATATTTTCGTATTTCCAAATTTCCAAATTACAATTTTTATTATTTTCTAATTTTGAAATACTTGTTTTTCTTAAGATATATTAATATTTAATTAATTTTATTATTTTATTAATAATCTATGGTCCCCGATTAATCCCCGCCAAGACCGATTAATCCCTTAAATATATATATATATATATATATATATATATATATATATATATATATATATATATATATATATATATATATATATATATATATATATATATAGGGTTAGGTTTATGTGAGACGACCTAATTTTGTGAGACCGTAAGACGCAATCCTAGCCACTCATTTTGTAGATAAAAAAAATATTTTTAAAATGCAAAATAATTGAATATTTTCGAAATTTTTTTTTTCAAATATTATTTTCGTCATTTATATTTTCCAAAAAAAATACCAAAAAAATACATTTTTTTTACATATTCTAGTAGAATATTTGAATATTTTGCATATCTGACAAGTCTAGTAAAATATTCTAACATTCTAAAAATCACATTAGAATATTTACAGTGTAATATTCTATTAGAATATTTCACGTATTTTTAAAAAACGGTAATTTTTTTTATTTACTTTTTATTTTTTAGGTAATTAAAGTGATGAAAATAATAATTAAAAAAAAAATTTTGGATTTTACTTTTTCTTTTGCATTTTAAAATTATTTTTATATTTGGTCTAACGGTCTCACAAAATTAGAATGGTCTCAAATGAATCTGAATTATATATATATATATATATATATATATATATATATATATATATATATATATATATATATATATATATATATATTTCCGTTGTTTCATTTGTTTTTACATCATATATGTTTGAGATCAAAGCGTTGTGTTCTCTCCTTCCAATAGCAAGTTCCATTTTACAAATGATTTTTATTTTGGTGTATATTGATTTTCGTTAAGTTCTTTGGATTTTTTTAGTTTTTTGTTTTCATTTATATTATATCTCTTTATAAGTTAATACGTTAAAATCAAGAACTCCTCACCCATTTTTGCCATGCTTTACACAAAAATTGTCAAAATCAGGGGTTACCCGGATCAAAAGTTCTTACCATTACAGACATGTGTGTCGGGGATTTTCTCATTCTTCATCCTTCAAAACTCAAATTTCCATGTAAGTTTTTACTATTGATTTTATAATTATTAGAGTTCTTTTACTGTAACTTTGAACTTTTTTATATGCGAATTGTTTAATGTACTCTTAAGTTCTATCCGAGAGTGAACTATGTGTTTTAGTTTGATCAATTTATATCGGATTTCATTATGGGTTCCTTTTAGTGTGTTTGACTAATCGTTTGTTTGCGTGTTTTATCAATAAGTGGTAATTTACATGTTTTTATACTTCATAATCAAGAGATGAATCCGTAAGGAAGATTACATTAATGGAGCAATAAAAATAGATTTCTATTGTAATTAATAAAATGAAAAAGGTATGGACTTTTAAATGATGTTTTATAAAAGCATTAGTTTTCTTTTAAATAATGCATTTTTGGTGTGGTCTTAAAGATAAATCAACCAAATAATTGAGCTTTTGGTGCTTGCATCCTTCTTTTACAAATACTTTTATCTATTTTCTTTGTATGGTTGTATCTGCTATTATGGGTAATAATAAATATGGATTCATTTTTTTAGTGGAACTGAAGAAGCATAGTTTATGTTCCTTACATTTGACCAACAAGACCGACCAGTTAATTGCCTTTAAGGTACCATATTTGTATATAATTTTTTTTTGGTGGTTGAGTTATTGTTCTTTTATAAAACTTGAGAAGCTTTTATTTTTTTGGTTTTAGATTCAAACAACGACCCCATTGGAATACAATGTTCTTCCAAACAATGGAATTATATTACCAAGATCAGTTTGTAATATCACTGGTAAATGTAGCAGCATGTGATCAAAATTCTAATTCTCTACCTATCTAGCACAACAATAATATATTTTTGTATGCAACTTATGTAGTTATAAAGAGAGCAATAAATGAGGCACCACCTGACATGATGTGCAAATCTAAATTTAAAGTTAAAGCTGTTGTAGCACCTAATGGGGCAACTACAAATGACATAACTAACAGCATGGTGATTTATTTATACAATAATTTTTTTATAGTGAAACAATATATGGTCGATCATAGCTTGAAAAATATATGTGTTTTCTTTGCAGTTCGATAAGGAAGAGAACAAGGTTGTTGAGCAGTTTAAAATGAGAGTTATATACATTCATGTTTCATAAGAATCTTAAGACTTTTCTTCCCCAATGGGAGAAGATGGAAGCCATAATTGTTCATGGCCTGATTTTTTTAGGATTTTTGTTGTCTTTTTCCATTTTGTTGAAATCGGTTTTTGTTCGGTTAATTAAACCTACTTTGACAGATCCCAAGTCTTTCTTTGCTATCCATCCACTACTAGAAATAGCTAATGTAATACACCACTTATAATTCAGTTTAATAAAAATACGTATTATAAAGTGCTACAACTAATCTAATACAGGCAGATAATATGATTAGTAGGGTATCCCGTACTAGAAAGTGAATAGTGAATATGGCTATATATACAACTAATTTACTAATGTGTTAGGTAATTAGGTTGAAATCTAATACAGTTAAAACCTAGATCAAATACGGTTCATTTTGAATAAAGTACAAAGCTGTTAAAATCTACCCAATTCTAATGCGACTCACTAATCTATTGGCAACCATGAATCCACTGCCGAAGAGCAAGAGTAACTGCTTCCTCCTCCCATATTGTCTCCTCTGATTAAAGAGACTTGAGAAGGGATGAGATTATTGTATCACATAACACATTGAATTTACCATCGGTGGGAGATCACAAATCTTTTTTTTGACTTTATATTTACAAAAATCGCAGTTTTTCTAATAAAATCGCTGAAAAAAAAATTAAAAAATCAATCATTTTATTTTATTATTTATTTTTTTGGTTTTATTTTTCAAAAAAAATTCAGCGATTTTGTTAATAAATTTGTGAATTTTGTACCTATAAAGTGAAAAAAAAGATTTGTGATCTCTACGTATTTCTTTTATGCATTTTTATGATTTTTAGGGTTTTTTGTTTTCCATAGAACTTAAACCTATATATATATATATATATATATATATATATATATATATATATATATATATATATATATATATATATATAAAAGTAGGTTCAAATAAAAACAAATATAATTGTGAGAACGTAAGAACGTTTTTCAGTCAATCATTTTATCCATTTAATTCAATAATAAAAGAAATAGTAAAAGGGCGTTCATGGTTTTTTAATATGTCATTAATATAGTATAATTAAATAATCCTATATTTTTAGAAATTAGTTTTTATCTCTCCAATTAGGCTGCCATTTATACGCATTTTATGAGATCCGATTAACGTTTCCTCATGTGTGCCGCTTTCGGCCATTGTTGCTTGTTTCGTCCACTCGTGCAAGAAATCGATCCCCCTGTCAATGTCGTTGTCGATCAAGGTATCTATTAGACAATAATTGGTTGTACTTGTTGTATATTTGTTTAATATTCAAGGTTGTAAAGTGTAACTTTTATATCTTATATATTCTCAGCCTCTCCACCACAATTGGGTGTGAAGAGTTTTCATTCTCTTGGTATCAGAGCACCATTTAAACTCCACCTTTTTCTATTCTTATTTCTTGTCATTCGTCCTTTCCTTCCCCTGGTTTCAATTTCTTTTCTATTCAACATTTTCTTCTTCCCCTAGTTTCAGTTTCTTTTCTATTCAACCTTTTCTTCTTCTAATGTCTTCCTCATCTTCCGATTCAACCCTACCCTCATCTGCTGATTCCACCCTACCCATGAACACCGTTTTGCATCTGATCACAAATCGTCTGTCTTCTTCTAACTACTTGCTGTGGAAAAACCAAATGCTCCCTCTCCTCTCTTATCAAAACAAGTATGTTTTTCTCTTTTATGTTTTGATAATCTTCATTTTATTTTCTTTTTTTTCCCATCTTGCTTCACGGAATCAGAACCCTAATTCTCTGTATTTCCCATCTTGATTTCGATGATGATTACATGTGTTTGCGTTTCTGGGAAACAAGAGAGATCGTCAGGGTCAATCGGTGTAGGGAGTGGTGTATTTAGGTCACGATGATGGCAGAAAGAAGGGCTGATGATAGATATTTGATGGTCACCAATTGACAGTGACAACGAATTTTGCAGCAAGTACAGTCGGTTTTTCCGACAAAGGAATTTATAAACATCCAGGAAACCATTAAAGCAATTGTGTGGTAAGAACTTTCCTTTCCTCCTAGATGACAACCTTTCTTTCGACAAATTTGGTTTCATATTTAAACTTGTTGCTTTTTTTTTCTTATGTGCTTTATTGTCTAACTCTAATGATGAAAACTATTATCTAAGAAACTAAGTAAACCTTTCTTTTTAACATAGAGAAAATTGTGTAGAGGTATAACTTTTCTGACATGATTTTCTTAGTCCCACTTGATGTAAAAACACCACCTTTTTAAATTACATTTCTCCAACTATTTCTTGTAGACTTTTCTTGATTTTCCAAGGTTTTCCTAAGCAACATGCAATAATTCTTGTATCAATGTTAGTTTCTTCTAAAAACTTGAATTGCTATTAGAAATTCCCTTTTCAATTTAGACACTCTATTAAATATTCTGTATTGAATTTAATCTTTAGTGAAATGTTATTTGAAATTTTATTTTGAATTTAAAAAACTCAAATTTAATATTCAACAGAAGAAGAGAGATTGATTTCATGGTTGTCCTCAACGTCATCGATAAAAATTTCTATAATCCTTTTTGCATTGAACTTCCACTGATTCGTATAGGTATTTTTTTCAATTTTTTCCCTGAAACTTTACTTTTTTATCCCTCCGTACAATTAATTAATTGGACTTCATGTCACAATTCAATTTATCTTCGATATGAATTTCACTTGTATTTTGTTTTTCTTTTTGTGTGGGTTTTGATTAGTCATATTTAATGCTTAATATATAAATTCTAATAAGAATAGTAAGTTTTTATATGTGAATACTCTATACTGAATGTTATTTCAAAAACACATTTATATGTAAATATTTTGTAGTGAATACATGTTATATGTTCAATGCTTTTTAAATAGATTATTAAATTGTCATTTTAATATTCGTTGTCTGTATTCCTAAATGAATGGATATTGCTTCAAATTTTTTCATGTGTGAATTTGTATGTGTATAGTTTTTTATGTACATACAATATTCATGTTTGTATAAATGAATATTTGATGATACTATTAAATTGTGTTATGCAGGTGGGTTGATGAAGTTATTCCAAGTTGGGTTGATGAAGTTATTCTAGATGCACCATGAGTACTTACACAAGAACTTATAGATAAACATTAGATTATGTGTGTGTATATTCTATTATGAATATTGTATGTCTATTCTGAATATTTATGTTTTTTCCTATGTAAATTATATGTATACATATTATGTCATGAATATTTACGTTGTTCTCTATGAAAATTATGTGTGTATTCTCTCATGAATATTTATGCTTTTCTCTATAAAAATTGTATCTTAATATATTCTGTCATGAATATTAATGTTTTTGTCTATGAAGATTATGTGTGTGTTTATATATGAATAATAATATATTTCAAACTCATATCACGAATTTAATATTCAGATAAGAATTTTTTAAAAATATTACACACTTTGATCAGAATATACCAAAATTGTAAAAAGAATAATTGTAAATTGAAATTTCGAATTATATCAGAACTTGCATGTTTTCAATTTTGAAATTTAATTTGATTTTTTTATAAATTTCGTATTTCAAAAGTTCCATTAAAAACTTCTCAAAAATAGGAAACTAATTATATTTTCATACTTATTTTTTAGCTATTTTACCAATTTACCCTTATTCTAAAATAAATAATATATTTTTTTATTTTTTAATTCACAAATTACCTAATTTAATAACAGAAATCTAAACCATCTATCATTTTAATCTAATGGTTGATAGGTGTTCTCACGTTCTCACAATAATTTTTGTTCTCACATGAACTATATATATATATATATATATATATATATATATATATATATATATATATCCTACTATTTGGTTGGATCTTATCCCATGTGTTTTTGTGCTTTTTTTGTCTTCCATTTATCAGAAAAATAAGGATGAAGATGTATTCCTTCACATGAATTAAGTGGTGAAAACACCTTTGGGTTTTTTTGAAAAATAGTAATTGTCAGTGTGATATTTTATATTGTGAAAAGCAACCCATTATATAACATGGTATCAGAGCGGGTTTCAACCTTGGAAGCATGATATCTTTGTGGATTAACGAGTTCTTTTCACCTTGGCCTTGGAAATGGAAAAAGAATCTAATGATATGATAAGATATGATACTTTATGTTATCTATGAAATGAATTTCCTTGAAAATGTTTTGAAATGTTTCGGATCACAAACCCGCGTATCTCACGAAACATTATTGTCTTACGTATCTCTTTTTAATGTCATGTATCCCGTGTTGTACTTAAGGATAAAAGGTGAGCGATGAAAGTTAGAAGTTAAGAGATAGGGAATGGAGTGGATCTTGTCAAGTTCATGTTGGATATAGTGTCTAAGTCCATAACTTTATTTGGTATGTACTTGACCCGACCCGGCATGGTCCATTTGGGTTGCATGGCATTGCAATACTTGGATAGACTAAATGAGAGAATAAGGCACTTATGATTATTAATATATTATAAGTTCTAATATATTAATAATAGTATTATTTAATTAGTATTGATCAAGTATTAATCTAGTATTAATTTGGTGATCAAAGTGAGACTAATTAAATATATAGGGTTGATTATGACAATCATCAATTCTTTTATGGTGGATTAATGATCCATGGTTTATGGGTTATGGATGTAACCATATGGAGCTCCATGGATAGTCCATGGGAGTTACAAATCCATGGGTCATGGGAAATCAAGAGTCATGACAATTAAGGGCATTCATGTGTAAACCCTAATTGTGACAACACTATAAAAGGAACCCTATGGCTAGCAAAATCATGACCTAGTGGACCTAGTGTTACTAGAGAGGGCATAACCGATTTTGAGTGCTAGAAGTATTCTCTCAAGTTATTCCAAGTCTTGTGGTGTTGTGTGAAGCATTTGAGGCACAACATTTGGGGTGCTAGGCTCACAAAGTCTTGAAGGAATCCAAGCAACAACAAGGTATGTATTTCTACTAGTTTTTATGTTTCATATATTCCCCATGCCATGCTAGTTAGGAAATAACCTTGGAAATGAAATTTGCATGTATATAGAGAAAACATAGATTCAAGGTTATTAGGGTTGCATGTACACTTAGGAAGTGTTAGAATGCTCAAAACTCATCAGTGGTATCAGAGACTAGGATTGTTTTCTGTATACTTGATGCAAAACTGCTTAAAAATCGAAAATTCTGCACTCTGACGACTGGACTCGCCGAGTCCATGGGGAGGACTCGCCGAGTCCATGAACAAATTCATCCTACTCGACGAGTAGAATAATGCACTCGGCGAGTAGGAGCGTGCTGGGCAGTTTTTTCGAGTTTTGTTGCTGGAAATGGATTAAGATTATTATCCCAATCTGTTTTGGACTTGTAAAATCTGTTTTTCAAAATGATAATGATTATGTTAACCCATTTTACATGACTTTTATCAATTTTCAAGTATTGTATATGTTTATATGATTTTCTTGAAATTGTTTGATATGAATATTTGTTCTTATGAGTTTTTAGAAGATCATAGGAATTTTGTGTAACTTACATGCTTGTTTAATTCATGATCTTAATGCTAATGATGATGTCCATAACTTGTCCTCAAGTTATGGATAACCAAAAGTCACTTCTTTTAATTATGATTAAAGAACTAAAGAGGTTTCATAAAATGAAGAGTCTTCATTTTATGAACCATTAAAACTCATAAGTTACAAATTGAAGAGACTTGGAATAGTTTCAATTCTTGCCCTCAAGTTTTGGAATTTGAAAAGCCTTACACTTTAATTCCAAATTGAACTCTTAGAATTTTTAAAGGTAAAATTCAAGCTTTATGGACTTCATTAAATTAATTAAAGTGTTTAATTAAAAGAGTTAATAATTCCATAAAGACATGGTTTAAGTTTAATTAAATTAAGTATAGTTTAATTAATAGATTAAGCCACCAAGTATTTTAAATGTTTAAAATACACCCTTATACTATTATTATAATTTTAATTATATAGATATGTATAAGAATATGTCATTCTTACCGTTAGTAGGCCTCATTCACGAAGCCGGTCTATAAGGGGGGTATAAGGTTGTTGCCTATAAAATGGTGACTTAATGGGTGTCCACTCTCACCCACCGCTTCCTTGATCGGTGGAGGGTCGTTAGCCGAACGGGTAGGATACGACTTTAAATACTCGTTAAAAGTATAATGAATTATAAAGTAACTATACATTATAAATTCCCAATCTTAGTTACTTTAGGAAAATGTGAAATTGGTGCTAGCCCATAAAATTACACTTTGTACCTTACCAAGTCGTTAGTGGAGCGTGTGTGGTTAACCGGCACACTAACATGGACTAGTAAGAGTGGCAAAGGGTAACTTGACTTTATTATAGATCGGTGGAGCGTGTGTGGTTAACCGGCACATCGATTAGGTAATATTGTTGAGGGTACCAAGTCAATTTGTATGGTTATTCACACCTTGTTTGTGATCCTCGGCATCCCAGTCACAAACTTGAGAGGGCACAATCGAGATTCAAACATGCCATTGAAAGTTCAATGTATCTCAAAAGATCTAGGAGTTTCAAATCCAATTAAAACTTAATTATATTTCGTTTTTCATGGTGGAAATTGGTAAATCGTCATTTACCTACCTTTAACTATTTTATAATTTGGATTACGGCATCCCTCTTCCAGTTATAAATAGGTTATTGGGTCCTAGCCTTGATATTTCATATTGGGTGTTATATTAAGGACTTTAAATCAACTAACTTGAATTTCTCCCATTATAGATGTCTAGTTTAGACAGCTATGGTCTTCCCAAATCTTTAGGAAGAAGTTTTCTAATGAAGATGATATCCCGAATGGCAATCAAGGTGAAAGATCAATCCCTTTGTTATGTATTAGTGGGACTGGAAATCATACTTCACTTCCTCCACCTCCTCCAATAAATCTCCTTATCCCACAAGTTTCAAGACATGATAAGTTCTAAGTCACTCAATCCCTATTGGCAAACAAAGTCTATATGTGCTTAGGTCACATATTGACAAGCCGGGAGAGTAGGGTGTCGAAGTCTCAAGGTAGCTGGCTGTTGACTTGGTCACTCCCTGATAACAGATCACGACATGACCCTTAATGATCTTACCTATTTGCTTGATGATGCTGAATCAGCAATGATTTGGAGCATTGGTAAAGCAAAATTTGATTGGAAGATCAACTTCCCAAACTTCCATGGACATTGACAATGGTAACATTGGAAGTCCAGAAAAACTTTCTCTTCCTAATTGAAAGGGATTGGCCATAGTCAACTCGGTTGACCAAATGGTAAAGAGAAAGGCTAAGTCTGTGATAGTCCCGTGTACCGTTTCCAAAGAGTCCATATGTTTCTGTTGCCAAAGGAAGGGCATTGGTTGCGAAGCTGCCAAATTTACCTAAAGTCCATAAGGATAGTAAAGTCAAATGTTTGACTCTACTTCAGGTAAAGTCCATTGTCTAACTCTATTAAGTTTCTATTCTGAGATTCTTATTGCATGATGTGACTGGCTCACATGTTGATGTTTTAAGAATCAAAGAAAAGTGAAGAAACTTAAAGGAAGTATATGCTGATTCTGATCGCGAAAAGGGATTTTGATCGCATGGTTCGGTGATCAGAATTTTGAGCTATTACTTAAGAGTTGAGACATATTGCTTAGGAATAGATAACAACAAGGTTTTCATATGAGTTGTAAGGATAAGTTTTCCGCAAAGTTTTAAAATAAAGAAAAGTTTTGATTTTATTTATTTTAAGTATCCTTACAATGGCATTTGTGAAAAATTGTTGATTATATGTTTCCATTAATAGCAATATTTGAAAATGGATTTGATTCTTTCATTTGTGGTAGTATCATAATTTACCAAATAAGGAAAGATTCTCATCGCCCAAGTTTCAGTTAGATAGAAACTTGGAATCATGCAACTTGTATTGTATGATGAATGAGAAGTTTTCGTCTTTGGGAAATTAAGACTAATTCCTTGTTCACATGTACATGTGAGTCAAGTGAAGGACTAAAAGATTGGGTACACTTGGTTGTGTGCTGGTCAGGTCCACCACAAAGGTAGATAAGATTATTC